CACTGGGGTGCAGGTTCATCTTGCCCTCATAGGTTTCCATCCTGACCATGTCAGCTAATGGCTACCACAGTCCTAAATCATCTCTCCACTTGGCAGAATGCATACAAAAACCAAGAGGTTGTGGGGAAAGATTTTTCTGTCTTTCACGGGCCTCTACCCCTTCATCCAAAGAGGTAGATCCTCTCAATTGCTTTCTGACTTGCACTGGCCAAAATTGGGCCCCACAAAACTTAGATCAAAACTGTCACAGGCAGTCCTAAGCCTTTTATGGGTCAACCCACTGGCCACAAGCATGTTTTCCAAATTAAATGAAGAACTTTATAACAGAAAGGAGCTGCTTACTTAGTAGAGAATTGTGTCTGACACAAATCACCAAAAAGGCCGAGGCAGATGTCACAAGGTGTCCAGGAGTCTCCCCTTTTGTCTGCTTTCCTCACTTGCTCCTTTCTTTCTGCACTTCCTTCTTGACTACAACTGAACATTTCAAAACCTCATCCCTTCTGTAGTAAAGTTCCTTAAGGAATATAATCCTCAGGAAGGAAGTTAAGAAAATAAATCAGAATTCAAAAACATCTGGGTTTCTCAGATGGTATATAAACCATTCCAGCTCTGCTTTATTTAATTCTAGACTGTTCCATTAGTTCAATGGACAGTTGATTCTGTAAAATTATGGTCCCCAGACTCTCCATCTTTCAAGACGGGTTTGATTCAGCATCTATTGAGAGCCTCCGAACACCTATGAACAGTTACAAATAGAAAGCAACATTGAAGCCGGGCGGTGGTGGCATGCCTTTAATCTCAGCCCTCCCCGACCCAAAAAAAAAAAACCACTGAAAACTCTAGAAAGAAATATGTAATAATATAAATATGTGGTTTTTTTCTATGTTTTGATTCTTGGAAGTAGCTTTTGTTGAGCGAATACTGACATCCTTTTGAATTATCAATCTTTAAACAACCACTAAGTTCTTCGTTTACTTGCCTGTCATTCTAATGCCACCATTTGCTTCATTTTTCATCCCCTCTTTAACGGTTACTCAATTGCTGCACATACTCAGTTGTTCCTAATCTGTAAGATGGAAAGATGGGCTACTTCCAAGCGTCTGTACTGAAACACTAGACATGCAACTTCTGCTGTGAGGAAAACTTACTTTAATTATATGATTTTTGAAAATTTCTCTCACAGGCACTATTAAGTGAAAAATATAACACAAGGTATCACCCAGCCCCTTACTGTTCATACATACTCACAAACAGCATGCGCACTATGTCACTGTTACAAATAGGTTTTGGGATGGCAAAGAATATTGTTGATAGCATAGAAACTTATGCTGGCAAAGTTCAAGATTGCAATATTTTACATTTTACCATTATATGAATTCTACAACTTCATGGAAGAAAAAGAGCAATTGTTTGCTATTTGTTCACTGGGTATATTCAAATAGCTCATTGCCAAAAAAGGACTCTATAGAGACAAAATATGGCTATTAATTAGGTAGTGCTATTTTTTGGCTTATGCATGAGATTTTAGTAATATTTAGATTCTAAGTCATCATGTTTTCCACATACTAAGTCATCATGCTATTGACACAGTTCTTCCAAATTAGCGTCTCCCCATTACCCACTGCATGCATGTGTTCAATACACTGGCACACACAAATACAAAGATGCCTCCTTACCTCTGCAAATCTTTGAAATGTTAGAATCAAACATCCCTCACCTACCCTCACAATTCAGTGTTGTGATATTTTATTTGTGCTTTAATAAATAAAGCTTGCTGGGAGATCAGAGGAAAAAGTCAACCATTATAATTAAACACAGAAGTCAGGCAATGGTAGCGCATGCCTTTAATCCTATCACTTGGGAGGCAGGGATCTGTCTGGATCTCTGTAAGTTCAAAGCCACACTGGGAACAGAGCCAGGTGTGATGGCACAAGCCTTAAATTCCAACACTAGTTAACCATGGAGGTCTGGAAGCCTGTACAGACAGACAGGAAGTGACAGAGCTAGGCAGGAAGATGAAGTGATGTAACTGAACAGAGAGAGCAAATCAGATGGCAGAAGAGCAAGGCATACAGGCGTGGGTAGACAGGAAGAAGCATTTTGTTCTATGGAAGCTGCGGAGTTGGTGAGGTAAGGTTAGCTGTGGCTTTCCCTATTTCCCTGATCTCTCAGATATTTCCCCATATCTGGCTCCAAATTTTTTATTTACTAGGACCATTTAGAAATTCATCTACAGTTCAGTTATCCCTGTAAGTCTTAAATTATAATTATAATTACTTAAATGGTATGAAAAATTATAAATATCTGTTTATAATTCCTGCCTGCTTTCCTGCTCTGAGTTTTCTGATCATATATCTACCTCCATTCTAGGTAAGGCCTACATTTGCCGGGAGTAGCCTTTATTCAGACAAGCCTGCACTCAACATTTTATCCTATAAATTTTCTATGTTCACATAGAAAGTATCAAAATCCATTTAATAAACTGGGATGGAAGTTTCAATATTCTCAAAATCACACTTATATGATCTCTGAACACATTCCCAACAAACATCAGAAGCATCCACTTTTGAAACCATCCCAAGACAACTGTTCTGTAAGTTGTGATTCCCATGAACCTAGTTCAACTCATCACTCCTCAACAAGATATCTTAGTCTGGTTTTCTGTTATTTAACTAAGAAACCACAGACTTATAACACACCAAGAATACATGTGTATTCAGCTGATACTTTAAGAGGTCCTGGATAAGTGGCCACATCCGATAATAACTTTCTTGATGCTGGGGACTCTGCATAGTCCAGAGTTCTACGGCAGAGTTGAGAATCATAGGGCAAGAGGAGTTCAGTACACAGAGTCTAACTGATCAGTAATAATAGACACACTCTGATAATGATCCATTAATATACTAGTCTAGACATCTTCTATAGGTCCCAACTGGCCACACCTCTCAATAGTTCACACTAAGGATTATATTTTAACATGAATTCAAATCATGGGCTTTTGTGAAAGTTTTAAAAATTAAAATCCTTGTCTCCAAGGACTGCTATGTTTCACATCCACTCACCAAATATGTATTGAGCACCCTGTAATGTGTTAAGACTTAGGCTGGGAAAAATATCTTTAGCCTCCTCTTCAATGAATTCAGACACTAGATCTGGAGAAAAGGTGACAACCCAGCAGCAAACCTTCCACAGAATGACTCATGGAAGATGAAATATAAGCAGAGTGGTCGGCAAAGACCTCACTGAGGAGGTGACATTTAGAAAAACTGAGCGAAAAGCACAGACACAGAATATCAGAAAAGATAGCAGAGACACACCCTTCAAAAAAGAAACTTCAAAGATGTAAGATGGGAGGGTGGATAAGGTGGGGAGGAAGAGATGAGTAGAGGTGACATCAACTATGGGACACTATGTAAAGTTTTAATCTAAAATGAAACAAAAGTAGAAGTTGGGGAAGTGTTTTATCTGATTTATGTATTTTTTTCCAGTTACTAGATTTTTTTCTTTATCATTCTTCTTCAAACAATTCCTGAAAGAAGTGACTTAGGTGACACACAATCCAGTTTGCTCAAGGGAACCCTGGTTTGCTTGTACTGTCCCAGAATAACCGCTAATACATTCCCCTCTAACTTTCACAAGAGTCCTAATGAAGACATTTACATGTTGAACAGAATGATAAAGAATACAGTAAAACATCCTTTAATCGTTATTTAGCGCCTTTCTGAGCTTTCCAAAATCAACTCTCCTTTCTTCTTGTCATGGCCAACTTGCTACAGGAGTTCTGGTTGCTCCAAAAGGTAGTGCTACTGGGGTTCTGAATGGGTGCATACTCTCTACTCGTCCCACTTTGCTCTCACTTCTGCCATTTGCTAGGTCTCCGGCAACATTTTCATTGACAAGTGCACAGACCTGGAGGACCAGACCTCTGTAACTTCAAAGAAATTAACCAGGATGAATGGCTTCTTTGGCATTTTGTCATTCTCTCTGTCTGGGCTAATTTTAGGTCTGTTTCTCCCACTAGAATGGTAGGTGATCAAGAGAGAAAAATAGTACCTCATCTTGTATGTTTTGGGGCTCTAATTATTCACCAGAGCTGGTACGTTATAAATGATAGCTATTACATAAAAGAAAAATACAACAGAATTTAAGAATGAGATTTTAGAATGAATTTCTTCAGTCAACCCCAAACATGCTTGTTACTGAGTGGTAGAATGCTTGGCTCTAAGATATGCAAGGCCTTAGGTTCAATCCTCATTATATTCATTACCACAATAACAACAATAATAAAGAACTATTTCCACATCTGGAGTACTTTAATTCTGTTAACTTAATCTCCTAGTCTAATGTGGTTCCATTCATTAATAAGTGACAATAACTTGTAATGATTAACTCAAAGTAAAAAAAAAAAAAAAAAGAGGAGGGATTGTATGAGTGAGAATTGTTGAGACCATGATTGGAAAAAGCACAGGGACAAACAGCCAAACTAGTGGACACACATGAACTATGAACCAATAGCTGAGGAGCCCCCAACTGGATCAGGCCCTCTGGACAAGTGAGACAGTTGATTAGCTTGAACTGTTTGGGAGGCCCCCAGGCAGTGAGACCAGGACCTGTCCTTAGTGCAGGAGCTGGCTATTTGGAGCCTGGGGCCTATGCAGGGATACTTTGCTCAGCCTGGGTAAAGGGAGGAGGGGACTGGATCGGCCTAGACTAAATCTACCAGGTTGAGCTGAATCTCCAGGGGAGTCCTTGCCCTGGAAGAGATGGGAATGGGGGGTTGGTTGTGGGAGGGGGGTGGGAGGAGGGAGGACAGGGGAATCCGTGGCTGATATGTAAAATTAAATTAAATTATAAAATTTTAAAAAAGCACAAACAAAATAACAAAAATTGTATGGGGCAAAAAGGAGAAATAAACATTCTCAGGTTTTTGTAATAAATTTCTAGCAAATTATGGTAATAATAGGTGTATAAATTACTGAAAAGTGATTTCACATACTCACCATTCTTAAGCAATCCTGAAGAAATCCTACTCAGGAACAGTTTTTGACGTAATAGCAGAACTTCAGCTTCTAAAGCTTCAACTTTTGATTTCCATTTGGACTCCTGCTGGGTCACCAAGGTGGCAAGGTGCTCTGTATATTCTCTGCTGCTTCTGTCTGCTGGTTTTGAGTGGATAATCGCCAAAGCCAGCGCCAGCTTTGAAGTTTTCAAATACCATGTCTGAATATCCATCTTGGTTTTTGTTCCTACCATATAATGAAAAGAAGTTACAAAATTTCCTTTTAACTTTCACAAAGTGTTTTATTTGAACAAAATTGAGCTTCCGGAGTAGTGCTAATTAAAAGTTTATAGTTATAAATTGGTTCTAAGCAACAGAAACAAAATTCTCAGAAATAAAAAAAAAAATAGTATGAGAGCTCATGAGTTTTCCCCATCCACTTTAGCATGCCTTTTGTTGTCCTTGTTCAATTCATGTTTAGCTAGTCATATTAGTGAGACATTGTAAGTGTAGCTTCTGACATAACTAGGAAAGACAATCTCAGAGTCCTCAACTAGACACAAACAACTACAGGAAAGTAAGGAACACTGAGAGTAGAAGAAACACCCTTCCCCAGTGAAGAACACAACTGGCTATCCAATCCAAATGGTCAGCCCTAGAAACATCCACAGGAGTAACATTATATAGGCTGAGCAGGTTGTACTTAGCAATATGTACACACATAGACACATATGCATGCAGCAACAATTAATGAACAAGAAGGCCATAAATTTAAAAGAGAGCAAGGGAGGGGTATATGGGAAGTTTTGGAGGGAGAAAAGGAAAGGGGGAAACAATGTAATTATATTATAATCTCAAATAAGCAATAAAAAAAATGTTTCAAATATTTGCATTGTTGAAGTTGTTTGATCCTGCACTTCCAACTATTCCAATTGCTGCCCTGAGTATACGTTTCCAAACCATTAACATCTCAGTCTTACAATATGAATATACTGAAAGGGAGAACATGATGCATGATCACCCTTAGTTTAATTCATTAGTTTAATCATCATCTCCACTGAAGGGTAAGTACATTGTGGCTTCCACCATATTTTACTGGATTACCACGGAGGCTTTGACCATAAAACATACTATAAAAATGTTTACTGTGCAGTAAAAAGTACAGTAGCTCTCATGCCTGCAGTTTCCACTTTCATTGCATACATTCAGCCTACTGCAGATAGCAGGCATTTGAATAAAAACTTACATATATATATTTGAACATGTACAGATTGTTCTTGTTATTAATCAATGTCATGCAACAACTCTGCATAGTATTCCCATGCTTAGGTATTATAATGATGATTTGAAGTACACAGGATGATATACATAGATTATATGTGAATAGTAAACCATTTTATATGAAGGACTTGTGTATTTAAATATCTTTATTGTAGTCAGAAATTTTCCTGTGTCCCACCCAGTCTTGTAACCACTCAAGACCCAAATAAACACACAGAGGCTTATATTAATTATAACTGCTAGGCCATTAGCTCAGGCTTATTACTGACTAGCTCTCACAATTAAACTCTGCCCATTTCTGTTAATCTATATGTTGCCATGTGTTCCATGGCTTTACCTATGTGCCATTACATGCTGCTCCCTGAACAATGTGATGGCATCTCTCTCCTCTGCCTTTCTTCTTCCCATATATCTACCTGGATTTCCAGCCTGCCTTTAAGCTGCCTTGCCATAGGCCAATGCAGCTTTATTTATTAACAAATCAGAACAACACATATTCACAGCATATAGAAAGACATCCCACAGCACTTTATATTTGAGGGGATCCTAGAAACCATTTCCCCAAAGCTCAGAGATAACCATGCAATGTTTCAGAAAATTCAGTGTGCCTGGTTACCACACTGATATTAACAACACAATTTCACATTATACCTTATATTTTATTAACGTCAATTTCTCAGGCCTATCTTCCACTACGGTAGGACTGCACTGCCCAAGTTCTTCCTGTTCAAATATCTGCTAATGAATTTTAACCAGTTATGATGCCCTAACTTCCTTATAGCTGCCTAAGACCCATTTGTGTATCCGTCCTGGATAACCCATAAACCACTGATTCAGTGCACTTTAAAATGATCTGAGAATGAATCAGACTCCTCAGATTTACCCTCACCCACAGTCACATGTACCTATCTGATATCCTGCCATTGGGAAATAAAACAGCACACTGTGACGAGTATTCTAATTGTGCATGTACATGTGAAATCCAGAAATCAATGTTGGGTATCTTCTTTATCAATTCCCCACTTACTTTCTGAGACAGTCTTTCTCGCTGACCCAGGGATCTTACCCATTAGTTAAACAAGCTGGCCATGAAAGCCCTGGGATCCTCCTGTCTCTGCCTCCCCAGCATTATGATTACAGATGCACACTACCACACCTGCTCTGTAGATGGGTCTCAGGGATCTGTACTTGAGTCCTCATGTTCGATAACTCAACAATCTCCCCAGCCTTTAATGATTCACTAACATTGTGCTGAACACAGAACTCTGTGTGCAATATGCTTTTCACAGTGCTGTTTTCATACTGAAACCTGGGGAGGACAACCGAATAGTTAAGCATATAAAGTCAGGGTTAGAAATGCGACTCTTACTTAGTCATCAAAAGTAGATACTAGTAGGAAATGCTTTATTTGGTGCAAAAGTATTAATGATGCACTGACTTAAGTAAATGAGAATACGAAAATCTAAATACAGTAAAGGCCCCAGTTACATAAAAAAACAGGAACACAAAAGCTGTAAATTAGTACTTATATATAACTGTAGAATTACTGATTTTTATAATTACATTTGTCTGCCATTCTAGTTATTCTCAATGACCATGTATCACATTATATTAAATTACTGAAGAATACATTTCCAAAATGAAAGCACAGTGACACTTTGGAATCTTTCACCACTGCTGAATACAGAAACCAAAGACTACATACTAGTGAGAAGGCCATGCTGATTAGAATTACAACCCCACTAATTTTGACTTTGGCAACAGTCATTCTACTTGCTGGTTCATCGGCCATCTGTTGTGTCAGGCACAGGGCTAAGGCCTCACACACTTGTTACTAATCTCAGAGAAGCACCCTGCATGCAGATCACAGACACGTGGATGATTTTCCCTGAAGAAGGAACCTTGCTTGTATATTAACAATATTAACTCCCCTCCTCCACATACACACATGAACACATGAACATGAACACACACACACACACACACACACACACACACACAACCCACTAGGACATATTTAAGTTTGTTTCAGTTAGAAAAAAAATTCTCAAATGCAAGTGTGAAGAGTGGGAATTTAACCTAGAAGGAAAAACTAGAAAAATAGTTTGGTAATATCAGAGTGAAAAGTTTCCTAGATCATAAAAACAGCCAACTCCCCAAACATCTTGCAGAAATACTTAATTGATTTAAGTCATTCGATTGAATTCATGTTCTGATTTTTAGACTTTTTATGAGATTTGTCTTTAAACCATGATATCATTAATCAGAAAAAAGATCAAACTGCTAAGTCCTTTGGTTTGTTAATAACTCAGGGTCTGAACATTAATTAGAATTGAATCATAAATGAGCAGAAACAATTGCTAACAGAGATGCCTGGTACAGAGTTGTAGGGTATAAATCAAAACTGAGAACACATACAGACTACAAACTACAACCAAACTGGGCTCCCATGGAGTGTGTGTGTGGGGGGGGAGAATGGGGGTGCTGTGTCTTTTAATTTTCTGGTAGCCATACAATTCTATTTGCCCTAAGATCTTATGAAGGAAGTACAAGCTTCTATAACGCATAAAATAAACGTTTGGCCTTTGTCCCCAGATTTTGACACAAAACTCCTGAATCCTCGGGATTAGAAACTCCCAAGTGGTAATAGATACTTATATTCTAATGACGTAATTCCCAGCATGTTTCCAAATGGGAACCGAGTGCCAGAGACACCAACCATAATTAGACAGTTGGAATTGTCATTAGCAACTCCCATCTCAACATCAGGGGAAGAGCAGAGACAGAAGACTGGGATAATAATGGGTCTTGCCTACCTAGTGACAGCTAGAGCAAAAAACAGTTAAAAAAAAAAAGAAATTTAAACAATAGAGAATAGAGAGATTCCAGGCTAATAAACACATCAAGAGGATAGGAGGATACTGCATAGAAAATGAGTATCACAACTTTGTGCATTCCACACCACAGGGGCCATTAGTGTCTCTTCCATTCATTCCTGGCATGAATCAGATGCTGTTTGTTTACTCTTTGTTCTTTGAAGGGCCTGCCACCCAGCTCCCAAATAAATACACAGAGAATTTTTCTTTCTTATGAATGCCAGCCTTAGCTGGGCTTAAATTATCCCAGCTACCTTTTGCCTCTGGTCTTTTATCTTTCTGTATTCTATATACCTTTCCTTCTTTCTTACTCTGTTGCTGGCTGTGTAGCTGGGTGGCTGGCCCCTGATGTCCTCCTCTCCTTCTCCTTTTCCCACTCCTCCATCTTCTCTTCCCAGATTTCTCCTTCTATGTAGCCTCTCCACCTGCCAGCCCCACCTATTCCTCTCCTGCCCTGCTATTGGCTGCTCAGATCTTTATTAGACCAATCAGGTGTTTTACACAGGCACAGCAACACAGCTTCACAGAGTTAAACAAATGCAGCAGAAAAGAATGCAACATATCTTTGCATCATTAAACAAATGTTCTACAGCATAAACAAATGTAACACATCTTTAATTAATATTCCACAACATGAATCCTTTGTGGCACACTCTAAACAGCATTATGTACTTTCTGATTAGTAGATTATGAAACCCCTTATTTAGTTGGTCAGGGCACAGGTAATCTGAAGATCCTGCATCAGGCACCTGAGTCTTTGTAACTGAGCCATAACACCTGTGCAGTCTAACATTGTCTTTGGGTTACAGGGGTCAGAAATGAACTGAATTATTAGATACCCCATTGATATCTAGAGAATTAGAGAATTTGTTGTTGTAACTGGAAAGAACCTTAGCTTCCTAACTATATTCAGAGAGCCTTTTTAAATTCAACATATACCCAAATAAATATAGTAAATAATTAAAATGAACATTTAATGTTCCCCAAGTAAGTCTTTAATGTCTTTGAATTCTTGGTAGTTTGAAATATAAAGTTTGATATTTATGTATTATATATATATATATATATATATATATATATATATATGTAT